TTGGCTGGAGTTGCACTGCACTTTAGAGTGTTAGTTGTGATTTCTAGCTACCTGTAATTTCGCACGTTGGTGTTGTTGGTGTTGTTGGTGTTGTTGGTGTTGTTGGTGTTGTTGGTGTTGTTGGTGTTGTTGGTGTTGTTGGTGTTGTTGGTGTTGTTGGTGTTGTTGTTGTTGTCGTTGTTGTCGTTGTTGTCGTTGTTGTCGTCGTTGTCGTCGTTGTCGTCATTGTCGTGGTTGTCGCGGTTGTTGCGGTTGTTGCGGTTGTTGCTGTTGTTGCTGTTGTTGCTGTTGTTTTTGTTGTTGTTGTTGTTGTTGTTGTGGTTGTCGTGGTTGTCGTGGTTGTCGTGGTTGTCGTGGTTGTCGTGGTTGCCGTGGTTGTCGTGGTTGTCGTGGTTGTCGTGGTTGTCGTGGTTGTCGTGGTTGTCGTGGTTGTCGTGGTTGTCGTGGTTGTCGTGGTTGTCGTGGTTGTTGTGGTTGTTGTTGTTGTTGTTGTTGTTGTTGTTGTTGTTGTTGTTGTTGTTGTTGTTGTTGTTGTTGTTGTTGTTGTTGTTGTTGTTGTGGTTGTTGTGGTTGTTGTGGTTGTTGTGGTTGTTGTGGTTGTTGTGGTTGTTGTGGTTGTCGTGGTTGTCGTGGTTGTCGTGGTTGTCGTGGTTGTCGTGGTTGTCGTGGTTGTTGTGGTTGTGGTTGTGGTTGTGGTTGCTGTTATTGTTGTTGTTGTTGTTGTTGTTGTTGTTGTTGTTGTTGTTGTTGTTGTTGTTGTTGTTGTTGTTGTTGTTGTTTTTGTTGTTGGTGTTGTTGTTGTTGTTGTTGTTGTTGTTGTTGTTGTTGTTGTTGTTGTTGTTGTTGTTGTTGTTGTTGTTGTTCTTGTTGTTGTTGTTGTTGTTGTTGTTTCAGCGATGGTGCCTCAGCCGCGAACCCAGCATCATTAAAGGACATAGCATGACATTCATGAGCCACATGTGATGCAGCAGAAGCCAATTCCGTTGCCTACGCTCCGCAGCGTCTCTCTCTTGTGAACATAAGCGGCTTTCAATATCTCTCTCTCTGTATTTCATTTCAGCGCAGCAGAACCATTTTGGTTGAAGAGACACTCCAGAGCATCACGCAGAGCTCAAGTGCATTCCTCCGAATCCGTCCTTAAGTTACAAAATGTTACAAACTCCTGCGGCGCAACATGGCGCCGAAGGCAAGCCAACGAGATCAAGGTTACCAAGACGAGTACGAGGAGTTCTGTAGAAAGCGAGAAAGAGCCCGACTCGAGCCAGTGAGTTACAGAAACTTTCTGCGACAATGGCGTCGGTCAGCCAGAGCTCATGGGGAAGACTACCCGGCCTACAAGGGCGGAGCAAAGGGCGCAGCGGAAGGGGCAGGACGAGGGAAGGGTGGAGTTACTCCCCCTCCACCACCAGCTCCAAAAAGGCGTCAGACGGAGGAGGCAGGAGTGGGTGGAGCTACTCCCCCAACTGTCAAGGCCAAGCGCGACGATGCCCGCTGCAAGTGTTCCTCAGGCGACCTCACTGGCGTCACTTCACGTACAAGCAGCGTCTTACCTTCCCTCTGCAGGAAGCTTTGGGGCGCATCGCCCAGATGCGAGCAACCCTGACAGCCTCTTTGCTAGTAACGTCTCCAAGGCCCTGGCAGCAGCACTTCGGCATGATCATGGACATGCCCCACGGATTCCAGTCCTGCCGTCAGGATGGGCTCGTTTGCAGGACATGCTCAACTGGCCCCGCGTCAAGGCGCAAGGAGCGAGTCCAGGAGACCTGTTGGAACTGACGCGCACCAATGAAAAGTCTAGATACGAGCTGGGTGAGCTGAACGGGACGTGGTACACTCGTGCTCTACAGGGACACTCCCGGAGCGATGTAACTACAGATGACCTTCTCGAGGAACTATCGGAGAAGACGCTCCCCGAAAGAATTCTTCATGGAACAAAGTGGTCGCTCTATGATTCGATCCAAGAGAGTGGACTGATTCCTTCAGGCAAGCTCTCCAGGGGAGGAGGCGGACGCAACATGGAGGGCAGACAGCACGTTCACTTCATCTCATCAGAAGATCGCGACAAACCGGGGGTCTCTGGGATCCGCAGCAATGCAACAATGCTCATCGAGGTGGACCCAGCGCATGCCTCAAGACGCGGAGTTCGCTTCTTTGTAAGTAAAAACAAAGTCATTCTCACCCCCGATGTAGTCCCCCCTGAGTCTATTGTGTCGTATCAGAGTTTGAAAACACTCAAGAAGTACGACCGTCGGGGAAATCCCATGTAGCGTGTAACACCTGGCCTGCATCAACGCCGGTGGAGATACTCCCCTGAGTGCCAACGCCAAAGTGGAGCAGCTGCCAGTGAGAAAATTTACTCGTGCGGACTTCATGACAGCTCTGTGGATGCTATTCCGTAGCATCCCTCTCAATCTTTTCCACAATCCACAATCAGCACTCAACGCACAGCCTAGAGCTTTGAGGTTTGACACCTGGGAGGAGACTGAGACGAGGTGCATAG